TGCCTAAAATTGAATTATATTTTATATAACTACTATTTCTATAAGGTCTAGCCTTAATCAGCCTTATTATAGAAACTAACAATCTTTATAAAAGACATTCTTTTAAAATTTAAAAGGTTAAAAACTATCTTATCATTATTATGTAGAACCTACTAATTGAAAATATAGAGGCAATACAATAATTTATCTTTGAATCCAACAATAGCATTCAATAATATTTTTTAAAATCTCCTATTTATTTTCTTAAATTAATATCTAAATATATTGTTTTAGAGTTCTATTGTGATATTGATTGATTTGATTTTTTCAAACTCAAACATATATAACTATTAATAAAAATTGTATTACTTCGTCTCATTTCATAATTTTAATTCTTGTTATTGATTGAAAATCAATACACCTCTATATATGATTATTTTTTCTATTGATTTTTATATTTATAAAAACCAATGGCAACAAATCTTCAAACTACCTACACTACTTATAATTTTTATTTTCTCTTTTTGGAAATAAAATAAAATTAATGTGGTAAAAAAAATTCGCTGCTCACATAAAAAATTTATGTAAATATATTTTATTTTTTTAATTCTTTCTTAATGTAGTTAAGTGATATTTTTGATTTCTTATTTTAATTATTAAATACAACTATGTTTAAATTATTTTTTAAAATGTTATTGACATGCATCTTGTATACATCTATGATACCAAAAGAACATATGAAATCCAAAAATGACATGTGAAACTTATAGTAATTTGACAAATAGATGAAAATATGTACAAATATGCTTTCTTTACAAATACATGAACAAAATTATAGATTCAAAAGTGATGGTGACTAAGATAAGAAGGATAGCATGGCTTCTTTAAGAATGTCATTTTTTTTTCAATTTGATTCTTGCTTGCACAATCAAATAATTTTAAAAAAAATTTAAATCAAGAAAATTCACATAGCTTTGTAAGATAATTTAAGGTAATTTTTTTCTACAAGTAGTTTCACTTCAAAGATGTTCAAAAGACTTTAGTTGGACAACAAATGTCATTCTAATGAAAAAAATATTTCAAATCTTCAATATTATTTTTAAAAAAAGGGGCATTTGAAGATGTTGTATAAGCTATATTCTCCTTCCTTAACTACTACTAGTTTCTAAAAGGAGCAAGTAAATATTGCAAATAGTATAGATAGTTTAAAGATTTATTGCCATTTCTTTTTACAAATGTGAAAGTCAATGAAAAAAATGATCATGCATAGAGGTGTCTTAATTAGTAATCAATAAAAAGAATTAAAATTATGAAATGAAATCAAGTAATATGATTTTTATAAATATTTATGTATATTTTAATTTAAAAATAAAATCAATCAATACCACAATAAAACTCTAAAATTTCTTATTCAGATATTAACACAAGAAAATAAACATGAGGTTTTAAAATATATTATTAAATATTATTATTAGATTCAAAGATCTATTTTTATATAGATCTTTTTTTGATTAAATTAATCAAGAAGTTCTAATTCATCACTATATATCCATTCTTGATCATTTTTTATAAATATAATTAAAGACTTTGCTATGCAATTAAAATTTGCAACAAACTTTTAGTAATAATTGATTAATTCAAAAAAAGCTCTCAATTGACTTATATCTTTGCATCTTGGTATACTTATTAATACTTCTACTTAATTTCTATACAACACCAAGGCTTTTTAGATAAATTATATGGTTTAAGTATTCAACTTATAAATAAAAAAAAAATATGCATTTATTTAGATGTAACTTTAGTCCATACTTCATTAAATACTCTAATACTATTTTAAGATATTTTCTATGCTATTTCTTATTCTTGCTAAAAACAAAGATATCATCAATGTAACAACTCATAAAAAGTAGTCCTATAAATATTCTATCCATTATTATTTGTGATTTAAAAGATATATTCTTCAATTCAAATAATAAAAACTTCCATTGATACAATCTATCTTTTCTAAATTCATCAATCTTCTAAAATATTATCTTACGTCTATCTCCTTTTCTCACCAGCAATTAATTCCCTTAATAAAAAAACCATAGTTTTTTAATAAAAAATCCACTAATTTTTAACTTATTGCAAAAATTCTTTAATTTCCAACCAATTGTCAAAATCTTCTCATTTCAAAGTTTTTTGCCAATATCCCATAGTTTCCAATTTATTGCCAAATTTCAATGATTTTTCCTATCAATAGATAACTTAGCTAGAGCCACTTCTACCTCTATAGACCTTCTATGGCTAAGGTAGATTTTTGCTATGCGTTATATATCTACAAGTAAGTGACTTGAAAGACTTATCTAGATTTTACATCTTTAAAATTTTTTCTTTACTTTCTACTCAAAGTGCTCCACAGCTCCATGCCACACACTCCACAACTTCATATTATGCACTATATATCTCTATATCATGTATTCTAAATTTTATATTTTAATGTATTTTGAATTAAAGACTAGAGACTAGTTTAGGATGTAAATGGTACAAATCTATTGTTCATCATATATAACAATTGGTACTACAGTAGATCCTATAATTGCCATAACTTGTCTTATAAAATTCAAACCAAAATAAGATACTAAAAATTATGTTGATAAGTATTTTTTTACAAAAAATAAATTGATAAAAAAATTAGTAAGAAGAATGGCCAAAATAGGGATAAAAAAACCTCTTTTATTTTTTTTATTACAAATAATAAAAATTAAAAATTAAGCACAAGACTATTCATTTCATGAATATAAGATGAGATGATTGGCTAAATCAATCAATGCCTTGTAAAATTGGTTGATACTCATCTAGCAGTGCTAGAATATTAAAAAAAAACCACCAACTTTAGAAGTACAATATCCACGTCTAAATGTCTTCAAAATTAGTACTTGATTTCTATCATGATATAAGAAACGATGTTTAAGCTAAAAAGAAATAGACAAAAAAGACAAGTAGGTGTTGTAGTTAGAACATTCTTGAAATCAATTCCTTGGAATTAACAAATTGCTATGCAAACTTGCTTGTGAATACTTATGTGCAAGGTCCACCTAACTTCAATTATATTGGTGGTGTAGTAGTTTGAATCTAAACATTTTAACTTCTATCCTTTGAATGCCACAAACTATTGCAATCGTGGATGACCTTCTTTGAAGCTAACTACAAATTACTTAAGCACACCTATGACTATCTTACACAAAAAAAATTACAATTTTTTTTAATACTTACACTCTCTTATAAGTCTATGTATACCTTGCATAGACTTCCCTACAAAGAAGATGAATGATGTCAATTGGATGAATTTTTTTTTAGATGATATTTATCTAATTTGAATATAATTAGTTAATTTTGGATGAAAGATGATGAGTCATCTATATAAGACATTCAATAATATTTCATACATCCTAAAGTCAACCAATGAAAGTTATAGTGCCATTGAGCTCAAAATCCTTGCAATTCTAGCAATCATTAATTTCTATAAAAATACACCAAAATTCAAGTTTTTTGCTAAACTAAGTACATAAATCCATTATATTTGTATTAGATAGATAGTGATAACTTTTTCAAGTGATAAGAATTAGAAAAAACCTTGCCTAAAGAAATATTAAAAACTATCATCTACAAAAATATCAAAATGTTATGTAAATAACAAACAACAAAATTAATAAAAAAAAATCTCAAAAAACATCATTTAGTAGATATTAATAAGTAGTTGGTGCATTTGTGAATCTAAAAGGCATGGCATTGTATTCAAAATGTCCATACATGGTTCAAAACACAGTCTTTAATTTCTTTCTTTCTTTAATGTATATTAGATTGTATACAACTTGTAGATCTATTTTTGTATAGATCTTTGTTTGATTCAATTAATCAAGAAGTTCCAATACAACAAACAAGACAGTGCTTTAATTCAATGCTATTCATCCTTCAAATTTAACTTTTAATTTCTCTACAAGTCTATTTAGAGAGAGAGAACAAAAAATAAAATCAAACTAAAAAACAAACATATTGAACTTTTTAATCTAATAACTTCATAGAGTACTAAATTGAAGGTGGATTTTATGATTACATTTTAAGAGATATGAAATTTATCAAAAAAAATTATTCAAAATATTTTTTATGATACACTATTATTTTATAATCCTAAAATACCAAAAATAATTTATATCATGATAAGATATTAAATAAAAACATACTTAATTTAAATACAACTTTATTTGAAAAACAATCAATGTGTATATGTTTATATATATATATATATATATATATATAATCTAAAATTCAAAATACTTTAAAAGAATAATATGGTATATGTTTTTAATACAATAACTATTTTTAATTTAGACTTCATGGCTCCAGTTGAATAGGCAAATGTTGTTGATGCTAACCATGAAATGATGTAATACTTTTTGGGATAACGATGAGATTTAGCATACATCAGTATGATGAATAAAACTAAAATATAATATCATAGGACAAGCTAGCTTTCCGACCAATGATATTTTTTTTCCATGAATGGATGTAAGTATTGGAAACAGGAGCTTTCGCTCGCGTGAACCGAGGAATGGTGGTGTGATCAGGGAGCGAGGACGCGCAGCTGGGTACTAGTCGCGAGGTCTAGACAGACACACACACACACAAACACTTACACACACAAACACTTACACTTACACACACAAAGGCTGTGGTCTGGGTCCCATCGAGTCCCGTCCTGCAGCTCCTGTGCAGTCGTTGCTCGAGGTCGTTCCCTCGTGCCACAGACTGCCCTTTTCTCGGTTCTCGTCTGGTCGAGAGTTTGGTCTCCCCTATCGCTATCGAACGCATCAGACGCATCTCGACTACCTCGCTGGCAAGTTGCATGACAAGCTCTGTTACCGAGAACGAGTGCGTGTTCTCTTCTTCCTCCCGAGATCCATCCGAACGCAGGTCCCGCTTTCGTAGAATTGGATGTGGTGCAGCTGCCTGAGTGCTGTCCCGGCCTGCCAAGGTAGGTGGTCTTGCCAGGGTTTGTTGTGCAGTGGCTGTTACGTCTCCCAATACTACGAGTTTGAGCAGTTGTTTTCGCAGAGGCCTTTTGCAGGGTATTTTCTCTGGCGTTGTACTCCTAGGAATTGGAGGATTTGCCTTTCGGTAGTGGTCGGCTTTCTCCGGGCTGTTAGATGTCTGGTGGGGCGTGACTCCCTCCGCGTGTCAGCAGTGATCACAGGTTGTGAGAAACGATACGAGCTTGGTGTTCCTGACTTCCGTGTCATCACAAGAATAGTTCTCTTTATGTCTAGTCTGTAGTGTGTTGGTGGTATGGATTCGTGGGTTAAGAAACAGTAATACTCTCCGTGTGGAGCTCGAGGACTGGAATCGAATGTTTGAGGATTGGTGTTGTAGGTTCTCTTACTCGACGCTCTCACGGCTGTTCCCTATCTCTCAAGTTTAGTTCTTTCATTCGCGTTTCAATGCAGTTTCTATTTTGGTAGCGAGGCGTAGGGCGGGTGATTTTGGCTCAATGATTAATAATGTGCAGGGGAGGTCGTTTAAGCGATCGTAACCCTTACTTGGTTGCAGTTGGCTTTTATTCACTTCTTCTCTGTGTGTCTATCCTATACTCGCACGACCGTGTTTAGAATTGTCGAATTTGAAGTGGTTGCTGTAGACGTCAAATGGATCCGGGAATTTAATTCTATCGGTTTATTACGTATGTTCAGGAAGGTGCAGGTTATTTGGCTCTTTGCGCAAGACCTTGCACTCATGCTTCGCAGTGTAGGTGTTCAGTGTTTGAGTGTTCTGTTGGTAATTGCGGTCAGCAGATTCGACCACTTTTGCAATTGACACATCCCCCTCTCCTGAAGTAGCCATTCTTTTTCATAAATTTATTGATAACTTATTTGGGTTCTGGTTTGTGAGCGGTGGGCATCTTCCTTAAACTGATTACTAGAAATCAGCTACTAATGGGGTAGAATTATGTGACTTGTTTAACAGGTTTAATTGATTCTCACTTATCAGCACTGGACCTACTCTCATGACCGAGGACATGTACCGAAAGCTTAGAAATCTGGGTGGCAGTAGCATCACTCCGGCCACCATAGCCCAACAGCTAAAGATCTCCCTTCAAACTTATTGTCCATCATCCTTGCCTACCGACACTGCTCAGCCGAATGAATCGACAATGAACCTCAAACCCACATCACGAAGCGACTTGCACAATCCTGATCCCTTCTGGTTGCTGCCAAACTTCCCCGGTGATTTTCCTGATCAGCGGGATGTGAATGCAAACCCCGTGGTCACGAGCAACCCACAAACCTCGACGAGCATGTGGGAGCCAGTTGTAGGGAATCAGGAGTTTTCCACTCAACCTATCACTGCACCAGCTTTCAAGCTTTCTCAGGGAGATTCTCTTACGAATTCACCTGGGGAGAACGCAATGGAATTACCGGCCAACTCCTCAGATACTGCTGAAAAAAAATCGGTTGGTGGGAAACGCCAAAAATCAGTTGCGTCCAAAAACCTGGTGTCTGAGCGGAAGCGGAGGAAGAAACTCAACGAGGGGCTTTTCCAGTTGCGGGCTGTGGTTCCTAAGATCAGCAAGGTATACATTTCTGACTACCTTCTGGATTGTTAATCCACTGTGTCATTTTATCATTATCATTCTTCAGTAGAGACGGACTGCATTGGCTTTCTATTGCTGCTCAGGACTACAGTTGAGGAGTGTGCTAATTTCTGCGCAGATGGACAAAGCCTCTATTATTGGCGATGCAATTGCCTACGTCCGCGAGCTCCAGAAAGAGCTTGAGGAGATTGAATCTGAGATCGACGATTTGGAACAGAAGTGCACAGGATCCATTGGTGATGATCCTGGTTCAGTGGAAGAAGCTGGTACAGGAGAGAATTTTTCAAGTCCAACCAGTTCAAATCTGATTTCTGGAGTAGAGATTCAGGGGGCTGAGCATAGAGTTGACAGCAACATCGATAAACTCTCGGCTAACACTACCCAAATGCTGTTTCCAGCTCGATTGGCTCAGAAAATCTTGGAAGTAAGCACTGGCTGGTCGATTGTCAATTTTTGTCCATGGCTAAACTTCTGAAGGAGCCTACAGACCTCGCTCAGTTTCTCGTGAGTTAGGTCAATCTCACGTCCACTTCAGTTTTCCCTAGTTTTGCCGGTCAATGATGGAGTATGTTTTCTTTTACTGTTCTTTGGCAGGTGGATGTGGCAAGGCTAGAGGAACAGACCTATCATTTCCGCATATTTTGCCCGAGAGGACCTGGCGTGCTTGTGCAACTGGTGCAAGCAGTAGAATCATTGGGTGTGCAAGTTATAAATTCCCACCATACGGCCTTCCAGGAAAATATACTCAACAGTTTCATTGCGGAGGTACATAAATTCTTTCACTCACTTCATCGATTTCGCAAACGTAATGTGTGGTGCGCTCAACTCCGTTTTTCGGATCAAATACTCTATCCTTTTGTGCTACTTTAATAAATTCTAACATGCCGTCTCATCACAATGCCATGATCTCATCACCAGATGAAGGATCCGAAAATGGAAACCGAAGACGTGAGAAAAACAATTTTCAGTGCAGCTGCTCAGTATGGACTTGTGCAAAGCTGATCATCTTGTAGGCGACGAAGCGCTCCGACAAGCAGTGATGAGATTAAGTCGCTGAATAACGGGACCATCTTCGGGGTTCATACAAGCAGCGCAAGGAGAGTCGGCTGTGTAAATATAGTCATCTTAGATGAGGATTCGCGGTAGTTTGTTTGAGAAGATTCAATGCAAGGTGAGAGGCACAATTTTGTATTGTCCTCATTCGGAGGATCTACAGCAGGAAGAAGAGGGGCTTGACCAAGATGCTCAGATCAAGTTGCTTGCTCCATTCGCTGTAACAAAGGCTCTTGAAGATCGCTCTGATGAGTGTCCATTTCCTTCGTCTTTTTCTTTCCGTTTTTCTGTCCTCCAATTTTCTCGCATATCTTGAACCCCCTGTTGCCTCATAGTGATCCCATGCATTTGAACTTCGAAACACTTTGACCGATGCTTTTCAGTCCTATCTCAGAACTTTCCTGTCGCTGACACAATTCACGCATACATTGACTCTCAAAAAGGTGCATTCCTTTGTATCGTTAGTGGTTGTCAAAGCAGACGAGTAATTCTTCCCGTAAAAGCATCGTGCAGTTTATCATGTCTGTATCGTTTCGGAAACTTTTTCTTCGGCATGAGTTAATTGCAACGTGTCAGAGTGATAGCCATCTATAAATGTGCCGCTTCACCAGATAATTGTGCATGTTGTACGCTAAAACAAATTGTGTACAATCCAGGTCAACTCTCTGAATAGGAGGACGACTTACAGTTTTTCATTTAGTGAACAGTAGGGGTGGAGCTTGTCACAACATTGTCCAAGTGTCACTTTGACAAGTTTAGCAATACCCAGCTACCAAACCGCAGACTGCCCACTTTGATTACCAAACAACACCGGAATTGAGGAAATTCTGATGGCTTCTTTTTGTAGCATACTCACTGATCCAAAAAATGATAGATAAAAGTAGATTGCAAAAGGTTGTCCTCCCGTTCACTCTTTTTGAAATTATTCCTTTCCAGACCCTTCGTGGAACTAGAGCCATGCAAAGCATTGCTTTACACGAACTTAAATCCGTGGCGCAACTTCGGCAGAGGAGCCCCTAATGCTGCTCTGGATGGGGTCTTGTGGGCAGAAACAAGGATGGTAGATCGTTTGTTCCCAAACCAGGATCTCCGCAGTGTACTCATACTTGAGAAATTCTCTCGTATTTCTAGCTCTGCAGTGAGGTGCCATCACCACGTGTGCTAAGTCTGTGGGAATCTCATGAAATCAAAACTACAGCTCTGCCTTTAACCAGCAAAGCCCCCAATCGGGCTGATTCAAGAAAGTGTCCATCATAATCAAGTACAAGTACCAACGAAGCTTGGAATCGTGCTCTTTTTGCATGTGTTGGGGCGGGGGGGGGGGGGGTGGGTAAGGTGAGAAGCTTCTGAATCAAACATGCTCACTTCCAGGAACAAAAATAGCAAAAAATAGAGTAAAATTTTAGGGAACGAAATCCTGAACCTCATGTAGATCACGTGAATTTCAACTCGAGGTCCGGAAAACACAACTGCAGGTGGCGATCCTATCAGCAGAATTAGTCCAAAGGCTACAGCATGATCGAAAAGACTGTTTATTTCACAAAGGGGGCTCGAACCAAAAAAAGAGAGAGAGAGAGAGAGAGAGAAAGCATCATCAGCACATATAAAACACATGTTCTCAATAATGTGGTGCAACCCGCTCCGTTCTATTAAATGTAGGAAAAAGAAAAAGAAAATACCTTCCGGGTCAAGGCTGTAGAAAAAGGACAACTGTACGTCCGATGCAATTCAATCGCGAACCTTTATTTATTTTTATTTCTTGCCCAGCCAGCACAAAGCCTGCAGACTCCAATCACGAGAAAGTCGAGGAATGGTTCTGCCGCGTCAAGAACCAAACCAGCGCAGTAAATGAGCACAGATTCCTCTGTGCTCGCAACGTTATGTAGATCGAGGTGGGTCCTGTCACGGCCACGCCTCAGGCATCGGGGCATCTGCGTTGATCATGAGGCTAACTCGGGGTCTAGAACTAGCGGCGGTGGGTCTATGATTCCTAGACCACCCGGTCTAAGCTTCTACAGGCACTGCACTTCGCTTTGTGTAGCGTGGCCAGACCCCTCCAGATACAAAGATTCTGGTCGGGCGAACGAAGGTGCCGGGCAGAGATCCGCTAGAGTGCGGCACCCTGAGGCGTAATGATAGGGTCCATGCGGAGGTGCCTTTCACCGCTGTCGTAGCCTTTCTCCCTCGCACGGGCATGGGTGCGGAATGATTGGGTGTCCACTTGTTCCCAAAGACTGTGCACTGTGGCCGTGCCTGCGTGAATAGGGTCGTTAATGTGTGTCTTTAATTTCATTTTTTCTTTGTGATTTTAAGTAGATTTTTGTAATATGAGGTAAATTTTTCATTTTCTTAAAAAAAAAAAATAGAAAAAAAAATACGCGGTCTTTATATAGAAAATTAAATTCTTTGAAATATCTATGTATATATACAGATTTAATAAAATTAACAAGTAATAATAAATTAATAAATAATCAGAAGAATTTCAAAGCAAAAAATATCTTGAAACATTTTTTTTCTATATTTTTACACTTACATATAAATAAATATTAAATTTAATAAATATTGGAAGGCCCAATACTTTTAACACAATAGATTCTTTAATATTGAATAGAAAATCTTAAATTTTCAAATATTCATAATCAACCTCCATACTAACATAAAGTTTAATTTTAATAATTTTGATATTAATGGATGATTATTTGTAAAATACTAACCAATATGGGTTACTGTTGGAATTATAAATAGTTGAAATTATAATTGTTACTTTCTTATTTATTTATTTATTTATTTTAGTTGAATACAGAAAGTTAAACTTCATTTTTTTTTTTTTTTTTTTTTTTTTTTCCGGATGAATACTTAATCAGTACCAAATGCTTATAATCCTCTAGAATTTCATAACTTTCATCACTTAAATTATTTCTTAAATTATTTCTTTAATTATTATTGTTTTTTAATATTTTAATATTTTTAAATTTTTATTACATTTTTTTAGAATGGCATATCAATACAAAAAAAAAAAATCTATTTAATTTTCTCAATTTGCTCAATGATTCTAATTATTCTAGATTTCATCTTGTACACTAAGTAAATAGAATCATAGGTATAGTTGTAAATTGAAATTTATATTTTAATTATTATAGAAGACAATCATGTCAAAATAAAAAATAAAATAAAATAAAATAAAGATATAAAAGACATTAATTATGGATGTTTTAGTAAAGTATAATATATCAAATTAAATATAAAAATTAACATCATTTTCAATATATATTAGTGGTACAACACACCTTAAGCTACTAATTTTATGCCTTGTTATTTAAGTCAATTCTAAAAAAGATAAATTTTGCAATATTAATACATGTATAAACAATAAACCTAATTACTTATATATGAATAATCAATTAAACACCAAATTGGCAATAGTAGCACAACAAGTCTTCAAAGAATATTAAAATATCTTGTCTGATCATACAAGAATTTTAAGTGTATTCCATCTAAATTAGCTGAATAAATTTTTAAAATTAAATAAAAATACTAAATATAATTAATAGGATTTTTATTACATAAATTCAAATTAACTAAAGTAATTAAGTATGATGTTAATAAATTTTTGGATACAAAATCTATTAAAATTATTAAAGAAGCATCATAATTATCATCTATTATGGTTGTTTACAAGAAGAATGATTAACTTTAAATTTTTATATACCATAAAAAAATTTAGAAAATTCAACTTCTAAGAACTCATTTTGTTACTTATTTTTATAAATAATATTCGTAGAAAGATTGCAAAAAACTTCTCACATCCATTAATAGATGGCAAAGTAACTACAATTTGGTTATAATCTATTTGCCAAATTGTTATTAAACTACTTTTGTTGTAAAACAAGGAACTTATGTACATATTGTTATATCATTTGGATCAATAAATGCCTATATAATATACCAAAGAGTCATTTTAAAGGCATTTTAGGACCATTTATACCTAGTTATGGAAGTTCTTTTACAAAAAATGATATTTATAGTTGCTTAAAAATACATCTTAAAAAATACTATCCATTTAAAATTAATCTTAACTTAGTGAAGTGCTTAATTTAAGCCTATTTTAATGTTATAATTAAATATTTAGTTTCATAAAAAATACTATTATTATAGAACTAATTACAAATTATATTTAAAAAATTATTAGAGTTTTTTTGAACAAATAGTTGCAAAAGTTTCTAATATATAATAAAATAAACTTATATAGAAGTTCTAATTTTAATTCCAAAAAAATAAAATTAAAATATTTATATATATATATAGATATATATATATATATCCATATTGATATAATAAATTTTACCAATAAAACTACATTAATTCAAAATCCTACATACAAAAGTAATCAACTAATCTAATAAGAGTGTTAATTTTTAAATTGGCCAAAAAGCAATTACACTATAAGAATTTTTAAATAAATAAATAAAAAAGTAGTAGAAGCCCTTTAATCTCTTCTTGAAAAAAAAATATTGTGTTTTTATTGATCTTATAGCACTCATTTATTTAATACAAAAAACTCAACCATGAAATTCATTTAATTGATGGTTATTATTTATACATGGTAACTTTATCATAGTCTACAAGCCTAATATATTTCATAGTATAATTAATGCATTAAATCAAACAATACATAGAAAAATTACTATAAAGATTTAAAATTTAATTATAGATGTAATTTTTTTTTATATAGAACTAAAATAGGTACCTAACATATAATATTATTTGAACTAAAGTAAGCCATTATTATCTATAAATAAAGATAAAAATATAATATTTATACATAAAGTAATTTTAATTATGAAAATATATTATTTGATTTACTAATGTGATAGAAATTAAGTCTTCTATTGATTATTACAACTTATTAAAGTTAATCAAGTCTTATAAGCTATCTATTGAAGAATAATAAGTGGCTATATTTTTATTATGAATATACATAATTATCTAAATAAGAAGTATTAGATAGAAGATAAATAAAGGTAGATTTGATAATATCTTGTAGTGAAGCTTCATGAATACATATTTGACTTTAGACATATTTGTAGTTGATTGGTAGGTTTGAAACTTCGCCAATAAGTTAAATATGTATTACACATATTGGCTACTTGTGGTACAAGTTGGCCATGTGGCACAAATGAAGAAAACTTGCCTTGCAAGTTAGACATGTGTTAGAAGCTCTATAGAATGTTGCCACATAGCTCTTATTTAGTATATATAGAGACAAGAGTGAAGTC